CATTTTGTACAAAAATGAAGAATGATGTAAAAAAAATACAATTTTTTTTAAGTTAAAAAGAAAAAAGAGCCAAGAGTCATACAAGCCCTTTCACTCTACCATGATCCCCATGCGTTGAGAAGTAGCACAACAGAATGGAAAGGTAAAGAATATCTGCTTAAAAGTAAATTAGGGCTGGATTTGGGTTCCAGTCCCACCACTTACTAGCTATGTCATCTTGGGAATATTCCTACACTCCTCTGAGCCACTGTTTCTTAGCCCGTAAAATAGATATAAAAAAAAAAAAAGTCCATAATTCCGAAGGGTGGTATGAAAAATAAGAGATAATATTTGTACACGCAGGGTCAAATGTGCTGATTCTAATCTTGGTCTTTAACTTAGATGTCAACATTGAACCTGTATTTCAATGAGATTTTTATTTTGCCAAAATTAAATCAAGATACCTACTGTTGGTTTAATTTTACAGAGGCATTTCCCCTTTAGGTTTTAAATGTATGGCCAACATCTAGCCTAACTGATCATACTTTGGTCACATGAAGTTATTGTCCTCCTTGATGTTGCAGATTGCAGGTCTCTATCTATATAAGGGTCTGACCAGGCCTTAAATGTTGACCAGTGCAGCTAGGGACCGCTAAATAGAATAGAGGGGAAAGGATTATTATGGCAGGAAGAGAAATGAACAGTATATAATGAACTTGCATTTCAATTGAGCAGAGTTTTTAATAAAAAAGCAAAGCTTTTTATAAATTCTTTTGCTCAGCAACAATGGAGAAAGGAAAAGAGCACTCGGCTGGGAACAATAGCTACTCAGCTCATAAATATCATTAGAAAGAAGATTTCCTTTGTCTACTGTGCCCAGCAATTTTACTTGTAGGCAATGATCCAGATCACTTAGATTCCACCTAAAATATGAGTCCAGAGAACCTTCTCAATTTTTCCAGCTCATAAATTATACTAAAAAATCTAATTTCCTAACATAATTCTACTATAAATAAAAATCTGCTCATAATTCATAGAATGTTTTTGACAAGTAAATGATACTGATCTAATAGAATCAGTATTAATAGGATGTGTTCTTCAGGTTCCATTGGGATGTTGACACATTTGCTCACAATCATCAACTCCCCTTGACAACCAGAAGCCTTTCATACAGAAGGTGACAGCAGGGAGAGGGCAGAATGCTTATAGATGGCAAGGTTCCCTCTGGTTAGGACGCAGCACTGCAAGCCAGCCACAACAACTTCAGTCTGAATTCTATTCCCAGCCCCGAAGGTGACCCACACGGCACAGCAGACTTCTCCTGTCCCACCTGCTGCTCCCCTCAGCAGTGTACTTCATCAATCTGCCTGTTCTGATGACCGCTCTGTCTCTGGTGAATCCAGAGGTACAAGCCCTTGCACCTTTGGCCTGTACCCCAGATCTGTATACATAAATAAAATCTTTTTTTTTTTTTTTTAAAAAAAAAAGGTGTTCTGGGCCCTCCCTGATGGCACAGCAGGTTAAAACACAGCACTAAGAAGCTAACGCCACTTCCGCATGAGTTCAATCCCTGCCTGCCCCGGAGATCCACATGGCGTGGCAGACCTCTCCTGACCAGCCCGCTGCTCCCCTCAGAAGTGTACTTTGTCGATCTGCCTGTTCTGCTCCCCGCTCTGTCTCTGATGAATCTTTCACCCTCCACATCTCTGGCCTGTACCCAGTTCTGTATGAATAAATAAAATCTTTAAAAAAAAAAAAAAAGGTGTTCCGTGTTTCTTCAGATTCTTCAGATAGCATCCAAGATGTAAGGGTAAACAAAACTGCAGTATCAACAAAGAACTTAATTAAGCAGATATGCAATGACAGCAAATTTGTAATAGCAGCCTTCACTGAAGACAGGGAACCATTCACACAAGCTTTTTTTTTTTTTTTTAAAGAGTTATTTATTATTTATGCATACAGAACTGGGGTACAGGCCAGAGATGTGGAGGGTGAGAGGCCTCACCAGAGACAGAGTGGGGAGCAGAACAGGCAGATCGACGAAGTACACTGCTGAGGGGAGCAGCGGGCGGGTCAGGAGAGGTCTGCCGCGCCATGTGGTCACCTCCGGGGCAGGCGGGAGTCGAACTCATGTGTCGAACTCATGCGGAAGCCGTCTTAGATTCTCAGTGGTGTGCTTTAACCCGCTGCGCCACCAGGGAGGGCCTCACACAAGCTTTTTAATATTTACAGATAACAAAGAATTGAAGGTAGGTTAAAATTTAGTTTTAGAAGTACAATGCCATTCTGAGAATGACTTTCCAACTAATATATACCTAAAACAGCAGTTGTATGTCTTTATGTCTTCTGAATTATTTCAACTAATTGTATTTAAATTCTATATTCCTAAAAAAATTTTTTTAAAGCAATAACTTACTTGATATAAATAAGGGGTTAAAACAAAACCAGACCACCCTGCCCTGCTACATATTAAAGATGGCCACTAATTCTTTCAGAGTTCCTGTGTCCTCTCCCTTGGAATCCAGCAGGTTCTATGACTGTGAGACCAACTGCCAGATACAGTCTGACTTTGCAACTTCCCCTTCCTCTCTCCTAGACCAGTGTGGTAACACTGGTAATCCTGTAGAAAAGCCTATGTAGAGAGAAACCAAGGTTCTCAGCCCTTTTTAATACCCCAGACAAGTCAGTACCAACCTACCAGCCACACAAAGGTGGCTCTCCCAGCCCTAACCATTCTGCTGCACAGAATGGAAATGAGCTATTCCCACCTTGTTCCACCCCAAGTAGATTCAAGAGTAACATAAATGATTACTGGAACACATCAGTATTAAGGTATTCGAACACATTTTAAATTAATTAAATGGCATAATTAAAGCAGTAATTGTATTTTTGAGTATTTGTTTTGACTAAAGGCTTTCTACATCTACAACCTCATTAGATAAGTTACTATTTTTCTTTATTATAAATGAAGCAATTGCTTCATCTTGCCGATTAATTGCTAAAGATCATGTAATAGGAGGGCAATAATCCAACCAGATCTGTTGATTACACCTAGCAGGAAAATGGGAATAAAGGAAGTCCAAGCTAATGCTCTGTATAAATAATATGCTATTAATTAAAAGATGTGTCTGAGGGTAGCCCAATATTGATTAGCATAACTTTCAAATTTAGCAATATGTTTTAAAGCATAGTATTCAGGATACATTTTCCCAGTACTTAAAATTTCACTATTTCTACTAAAACACAAGTGTTCAAACTAAAGAGACATAACAAAGAATGGTAAGGTGTTGATCTGGAGGTTCCTGTACCGTATGTAGTAGGAGAAAGAGCATGTCATAAATGACAAAGTGTAGTGAGAACTCATTCATTAATTCAGGAAATATTTGTTGGGTGCTAATGTAGCACCAACCTAGACAGATTTGGTCCCTCCTGCAAATTCCTATCACTTTCGCTGAAAGCACCAGAAAAGGGAGGCTAAATTCTAACTTGGTCTTGATCTACCCCTAGGCTCTGGGCACTTGGAGATCTGGTGTTTAGGAGGGCATTAGAGGTAGAGGGATAGTAAACAATATGGGAAACACTAGCAAAGCACAAGAAAATTAGGACATGCAAGGGGATTTAATTTTAAGACAGGTCATTATTCTATGCAGAAAACCAAAAATACTAAACACACATACAGCAGTGTTCTCTTAATGAGAGCTGATTTTGTCCTTCAGGGGACAACTGGCAATGTCAGTAAACATTTTAGGTTGTTGCAACTGAAGTGGATGCTGTTAGCCATTCAACAATACACAGGAGTGTTCCCCACAAAAAGGTCTAATTCAGCTCAGTATGTCAATATTACCAATGTTGAGAATTCCTAGAGGATGACATAGACAGAAAGATGCATCTAGAATACTGAAAAAGTATTTTAAGATATGAAATATGTTAGTTCATAAATGTACTAATAGGATGAATTCAGGACTTGTAAAGGAGTATTGGAAAATAATGCTAGTACTTGGTATCTCAGTTTTCTCACCTTTAGAACAATAAAGTGATGGGGGGGGGGCTTATTTGAAAAGTTAGCTAGCCCTTCAAGACCATGTAGCTCATTCCCTGCTTTTGAGAAAACCAGCACTTTAATCACACTAATTAATATGTTCTATTTTAGCTAATTCTGACATACTCAGAGGAACATATAACAACAAATCACTAGTTATATCGTCACTCTCATTGTTTTGAAGCCCAGTGCAAGGTCACTTATTCTATGCAGTCCCCTCTGCATCCCCCACAAAGTGTCAGTTTTAAAGTGCTTATGTGATATATCTCTCTTCTAAGTGTAAGTTCCTTTAGGTCAAGGATCCATGATTGGTTCATACCTGAAACTCTCAAAGGATACACATACAGTATAGTTGGTTAGTAAGTCACTGTAGGATACATGTTTATTGATAATATGTGTTATATAACATAAATCATATTTGTGTTGTGTGAATTTATACTATGTATCATATACTACTTTGTTTATATTATATAGCATGTATTATGTGTTGTATAATTTATATGTCACATATAATTTATATTATATATTATACAATTTATGTTATATAACAAATTTATACTATGTATCATATACTACTTTGTTTATATTATATAACATGTATTATGTGTTATATAATTTATATGTCGCCTATAATTTACATTATATATTATACAATTTATGTTATATAACATATTATAAATAAACACACAGTGCCAGAAGACTTTAATTAAATATAAAGTCTTCAGATTTCTCCCAGGTCTTTCAGCTTTTCCTCACAGGGCTTATTTTGTGAATCTTTAATCATTTTAGTAGCTCTCTAGTGCTGCAGCTACAGAGTCTCCGAGAGAACAGTTCTTTAAAAGTCCTAACCACAACTTTAAAAAACACCATTTCCCCAATCAGTGATTGGTCTCAAAACATTTAAGGTACCTTCCGTAGGCAGAGTTCTAAATCCCTCTGATGAAACAAGGGTTGATGCAAATATAAATAAATAAGCAGGAAGAAAAGTTCTACTCACTGCTCACACATCCAAATTATATCATTGATCACAGTATTTTTGCATCACTTTGTAGGACAAATGAAAGTAGAGGGTTAGGGAAAGAATTCTGGACTAACAAAAATCTTGAAATATATGGCGATTACAGAGAAAAGGAAACAAGGAAAAAAGAGCAGTTATAAAACTCAAAGGAGTTCATTTAAATGATAATAGTAAGATTATTAATCTTTTATTACTAATATAACTTAATCATGGAGGAAATGATCATGGTCAGTACATGTGTGAGAATCATGAAGGACGTGGTTTAGATTATTTGCAGATGTTTCTTTTTCAAGTTACCCCTTTATTCACTTAAGAGTAGCTCTTAAGCATCAATCAATGTTTGGTGGTTGCTTCTAGCAAGTCTTTTGCTTCATTTATTTTGGTTGCTAAGTAAGGAGATCCACCTAAGACAAAGAAAAAAAAAAATAAATGGATTAAAACTCACTTCATTATTAACCTTCTTTTAAAGTCTCAAATATAGAAAAAAAATCAATTACAATTCACAGATTATCTTCCCAATTCATCTCTGAAAACTAACTTTATAGCTGAATAGAAATCAAAAGAGCATAAATTAGCCAGTAGAACACTGCAGACACCCAACAATGATAGATAATGATAATCATGGGGGGGGGGGCGGTGCTGTGAAAAAACACTCAAACTTTTCCAATTTAACCAGGGAATTTTTTTGGTAATAATTAATAGTTTTTATTCTGGACTTTTTAAATGGGAAGAATATCCATCTATTAGGGAGGACAGCTTTCTGGAGGAGGTAAAGCAATCCAGGTGATCTTTCAGTCTTATCAAGTTTTCAATTTCCACAAAAATAAAGTACATGTTAGGAAGAGTAACTACATAATACACAGTTTACAAATCATATTTACTAATACAGGTGAATGAGTGAAAATAATAATGTTAGCGGAAATGTTTTCTATCTCTGAAATAATCCTATTTTTAGCTAGTGGTTAGTAGATTCACTGTGCCCTGAAAATAAAATTGTCAGTTCATTTTTAAAGTTTTTTGAAAAAAAATTATTTCTAATGTACACAGCAAGAAGAAAATTGAGATGAATTTTAAATTTAGAATCATCATAAATCATAAAATCTATGTGATATACAAAAATACCAGCCCCAAACTGTCACATTAAAATTACTTAAACATCAGATGTCTTCTAATTTCAAGTCCTGAACACTCTTCATTGCTTAACACTCAAGCTAACAATCACAGTACACTAGCACCGGTTTACAGATGTTAAAGGAATTCAACTAGACAAATTTAGAAACGAAGGATGTGTTCAGGTTTAGAAATGAATAAGTGTTTAGAAAATACTACAGTCATTTAATATAGTAGTGCATATCTGTAGAATTAAATAAAAATCTAGGATTTAGAACTTTTATATTTTATCTTCTCAATTTTCTAACACACTCATTTTCATTATATTTTATGAAAGTTACCAGTCCACCAGATACTGGGGAAAAAAGACAGTTCTATCACAGATAATTTGTGCAGTAATGATATAAAGTATGTTAACTGATGGCAGCAGAATTAAGGTAAAAATGAATAATATCTAGGGGATCCCAATGTTTGGAAATTAGTCAATTAGCTTTTAAATAATCCATGAATCAAAAAAAATACTGCAATGGAAATTAGCATTCAAGAAAATCAACAAAGTCAAAAGTTCTCTGAAAATATGAATCAATTTCAAACCAAAGCACTTAAAATTCAATATATTCTAGGAAAAAAAACAATATTTCAAAACTGATACAGGATGAAATGGAAAATTAAAATAATCATATATATTTAAGAAATTAAACTAGTAATTAAAAACTTTCCCACAAATAAAAAGCTTAAGAGAGCTTTATCTGGTCATTCGAAAAACAAAAGGGAGAAGAAAAAAAAAATTCAACTCTTTTAATGAGGCTAGCCTATCTCTGCAACAAACTTTGATGACGATATCACAGGATGAACAAAGAAGCACAAACCCCCAAATATTAGCTTATCAAGTCAGGCCAAGAATCAATGCCAACTTAGGTTTATATCAACAATACAAGATTGATTTTCATATCAGAAAATTAGTCAATACAGTTAATCACATTTAAGGTTCTATGTGGGTTTATGTTGATAGCTATATCCACCTTATATATATATGGACATACAGATACAGATGTATGCATGTACTGATATGTGTGTGTGTGTGTGTGTATATATATATATATATATATATACACACACACACACACACACACAGGTAAGGATATAGAAAAGTAGCATAAACAAGGAGTTCACAGTGATACATCAGTAAAGTTTATTACCTATTTTCTAATTATAGATACTTGCATTGTTTATAATTAGATATTCAAAATAATTGCTGTAAACAAGCAAAAAAATTAATTTCATTAATAGAAGAAGAAATAAATGAGATATAATCATCTCAACAGATGCAGAGAACTCAACACACATGGATAATAAAAACTTTAGTAAACTAAAAATAGAAGAAAACTTCTCTTATGTGATAGAAGTTATGAAAAAAATATAGCAAACCTCATATGTACTACTAAAATACTAGTAAAATTCTGATTGGCTCTGAGATCAATCAGAAGAAAAGGACAATAATTAATGCCAGTCTCCATTCCCAATTAAAAAAGAAATGAGGACTGGAAAGAAACTGACACTCTTCATAAATGACACGGCTGAGCACACAACACATCCAAAAAGATTAATAAATGAATTTAACGAGTTGCTGGATAATACAGCAATATATACAAAACCAATCTATATGTCCTAGAAAAAAATAACTAGACAATATAAACTTTAAAACAATGTAAATTATAATAGCATTGTGGATGGTTGCATAACTGTACATTTATTAAAATTACAGGATTTACATGTTCAATAGAAAAATTTTATGATCTGCAAATTGTATCTCGATTAGCCTGGTAAATAAAAAGATAGCATTTAAAAATATCAGTATCTAGGAATAAATTTAATAAATTAGGCATATGTCTGCAATCCAGAAAACTGCAAAATCTCATTGAAATAAATAGAGTACCTAAGTAAATATCAGGCTATGTCTTGTACATGCATTAGAAAATTCAGTATTACAAAGATATCAGTTTTCCCTAAATATATGTACAGATTCATAACAATCTTAATCATAAACCCAGGAGATTTGTGTGTGAATATGGATGTATGAAAGTATAATGTGCATATGTGAAAGAAAATTCTTTATTTATGTTAAAAAGTTAAAAATCTTAAAAGAATTTGAAGGACTTACACTACCAGAAATCAAGACCTGTTACGGAGTTACCCAAACCATAAATGTGCTATTGTCACAAGCATAAAGCAACTCACCAACAGAGGAGAAAAAATACAGAAACCTTTCTTATAAAAAGGTAAAAGTGCATATCACGGGGGAAAGAATATTCTTTTCAATAAATAATGCTGGACCACTGTGTTATCTATTTAAAACTAAATGAAACTTGACAAATAAAAATCTGTTATCATATACAAAAACAGATTTTAGTTTATAACAGGTAAAACTATGTAAGATTATAAATGTTCCAGGAATTATCTTAAAGACCTTGATATAGGCAAATATTTCCTAAACAAACTAAAACAAATAAAAGCACGAACTATAAAGGAAAATTTTGATAAACTGTACTCTATTAAAATTAACACAGGCCCTCCCTGGTGGCGCAGCGGGTTAAAGCACTGCACTGAGAATCTAAAACCACTTGCACATGAGTTCGATTCCCGCCTGCCCCGGAGGTGACCACATGGCGTGGCAGACCTCTCCTGATCCGCCCGCTGCTCCCCTCAGCAGTGTACTTCTTTGATCTGCCTGTTCTGCTCCCCACTCTGTCTCTGGTGAAGTCTTTCGCCGCCCCTTAGTCTCTGGCCTGTACCCCAGTTCTGTATGCACAAATAAATAAATCTTTAAAAAAAAATTAACACATATACTTTAAGAATATATGCACATATACTCTTAAATGCACATATACTTTAAGAGTGTGCATAAGCAAGCCATGAAGTAAAGATATTTACAAAACAAATCTAGGAGACTAAAATGTTGTTTTCCCAAAAATCAATAGGAAAAGAGACGGCCCAATAGAAAAATAAAAGGGATAAAGTGGTACGTTATCTGTATCATGGAATATTGTATAACAATAAATAAGAATGAATCACTACTATAGCATTCACTGCTACATAAATAAATCTCAAAGATAATCAGAGAACACAGATACAAGCAATAACACACAACAGTATTCTTTCTACTTAGATAAAGTTCCAAAACAGGTAAAAGATGATCAATATTGAAACCAGGATAGTGGTTAACCTTTGGTGAATAGTCAAATCTGATGACTGGAAAATTACTGAGGAGACTATATAAGATTCTAGTACTCATTATTGAGCTGACTATGTAAGTGGCAATTCATTGGGTTATATATTTATGAACTGTGTGCTTTTATGCGTGCCTATTTAATTTTAACAAGTTTATTAAAAAATAATGCTGAAGAATTGTTGACCTCTAAAGAGTGATTGCACTACAAATTCATATGTGCAGAAACTGCTGGCAAGGCTGTGAGCAGGACCATGAAAATAGTCACTAGGCACTGTTCTAATGTATTATTTCACATGGTTCTTTCAAACACCCTCGGTAATTGCTAAATTTCTATATTCATCACATAAAGACACTGCGTCACAAAAAGTTTAGTAACTTAATCAACACTAGCCACAGAGTTAATGTGAGTTGGAGCCAGAACCCCAGAAAACCTGGTTCCTGAGCCTGTATTCTTCTTATTCACTAAATCACTATGCTTCTCCTTTTGTTTACAGTTCTTTTTTCTTATCAAACATGTGGTTATTGCTGAACCTTTCTGTTGCCCATCCTGGGCCCTCTTTCCTCTTGAGCAGATGCAAACTTACCAACTCCTGAGTACACAGCTAGGACTCAAGACATTAAAATGAATGTATGTTCTATGAGAACAAATATCTACCTGTCTTGTTTGACATTAAAGGTTCCAAGATTTGGCATAATTTTTGGCACACTGTTAAAATTGAATAAATAATTTCTGAATGAAAGAATAGTTTCATTCAGTATTAATATAAGGAGACTTTCAAAATTTTAACATGATCATTATGAGTTACAGTTATCAATTCTGTATTATAAACTTTATACACATCAATATTCATTTGCTTATTCATTCACTAATGTGGGAATATCTTTTTTCATTGTCAGATGAGTAAAGTACGCTGCTGATGGGGAGCAGCAGGCGGGCCAGGAGAGGCCCCCCCAACCCCTGTGGATCTCCTCCAGGGCAGGCAGGGATTGAACTCATGTGGAAGTGGCTTAAGCTTCTTTGTGCTGTGCTTTAACCCGCTGTGCCACCAGGGAGGGCCCATATCCTTTACTTTTTAAAAAAGATTTAAATACTTATGTATATGAAAAAATGCAGTGTAGGCCAGAGGTGAGGGGATAAGAGAATTCACCAGAGACAGAGGGTGGAGCAGATCAGGCAGTTCTACTGAAATACCCTGCTGAGGTGAGCAGTGGGTGAGACAGGAGAGGCCTCCTGTGCCACATGGGTCAGCTCTTTGGTTGGGGAGCAAACTCATGCTGCAGTGGCTGCCTGGATAGCTTGATAGGGCTGTGCTTTAACCCCTGCTCCACCATATCCACCCATATCCTTTACTTTTAAAGACATGACCATTTATCAGGAAAATCAATGTATGACAAAAAAACAAACAATAAGCACAACAAAAAACCCACCTAACTTAAATACAGTCTTAATATGAAATAAAATATTGAAATGAAAGCAAAGATTAAGCCTTGGCAACAAATAAGTCTAGTACATCTACCGAAAAAGGAAACTGAGCTACTACTTGCATCACTTTTTCATCATGAATCAGCGATGATGCTTGGTGGTCATAGCTTTCTTTTGCAATAGGTTTACAGTACATCTTTTACATTAATAAATTACAATATATTGCCAAGGTTTCATGTCAACGTCTACAATGAACATAACTAGGGAAAATTTATTCAACAGTATAATTACTTTGACTTGTGTTTAATCCCAAAGTTTTATTAAATTTTGAATGAAATAACATTAAAGGAGGGTGTATTGTATGTTTACTGGGGCATAAGTGGAAAAATTCTGAGAACCTTCATGTTGCAAGATGGCAGATTTTGGCTAAATGTAAGGGAGAACTTGCAGGAATTAGTACAGCCCACCAGTGTCTGCCTCTACAGTGTCTCTAACACTAACAATCTGTGTAATTAGTAGGTCCCTTTTTCCTGGAGTGGAACAGAAACCATCTTGATTTAGCAGTCTGCACTGATAAGACCAGTGTCTCTCAAATTATGAAAAATACAACTTTAAAAACAATTTCCAATCAGTGATGGACCAAAACTTGCATACTTAAAATACAAAAAGCAACACATATTTGGATGTCACCACAATGTCAAACTGCTATGAAGTTTTCTAAACTCTTTTGATTACCTTTTTTT